GCGATGCATTCCGTTGTGATGCAGGACGTTGCTTACTTCGCGTGTTTGAGTTCGCGCTTCAGCAGAGTTGCGATGGTGAAGGGCTTTGCCCAACCACCTTGTTGTGTTCTTGCCAATTGACGCCGATCATCCTGCTAACAATTGCTGCGTCGTTTGAAACTGTTACTTGGAATGCGTCTTGTTCCATTCTGACATTCTCTGAACTTGTGCGCCAAAGGTGGACGGCTGCTCGCTGAACCCTAACCGCTCCTTCGGCCCTGCAGTGGTGAGCGCCTTTCGCGGTGCCTGGGTTCCAGTGGGATTGCAGTCACAGTCAGAACTTGGGAGCCCCATTTTGGATGCTTCCAAGCGGAAATCAGGAGGTGACCCAGCATTTTGATGGCTTGTTCGGCCGGTCTGAAGTGACTACTTTTGGTTTCTGTCACATAAACCCTTGTGCATGTGGGCGCCACCCGAAGCTAGCCAAAAATACGGGCCCGCCGAACCGAACAAATACGAAAACCCAACCGTTGCTCAATGTGTCTTCTCCAGCAGAGACACATCACAGCGACGTTTGTGCGGTGTGCTTGATGTGGATCCGCGTCGTGCAATTAGGTTTGCCAAGGCTCAACGGGTTTGCCAGAACATGAAATGGCCCAATTTGCTCTTATCTTAGTATGTTAGCGTCGTTTGATTGCAATGCTAGAATCGTTTGCAGCTCACGTTGGACTGACAACTTGTGCCATTCAGACTGCTCATGCCCTAGAGAAACAATCAGATTCCTGAAAGTCTGGGGACGCTTGCCGTTTCAAGAATACTTTTTCTCGCATCCGGGTCCCTTGCTGCTTCCGGGCGAGCAGAAAGGGCCAGAGCTGCAGGTTGTGCCAACTACGCCCCAGGAGGCATGGAAGCCCTTTGGATGATGCGCCTTGGTTCAGTCTTGGAGTTTCGGTCTAACTAGCGGACAGACGTTTCGGAAAGCGCCGCATGCTGACATTCTTGTTGCGGAAAGACCCCGCAACATGCAGTTTGTGGTTTGACATGATCTAGACTCTGTGAGATGTTTGACGTGCTTGCAAGTTGATTCGAGCAAAGCCTCTCAACATGCACTGGTAGGAGTGCATGTACAAGGCTTGCATAGCACATAGAGCCACGCATTTTGGCATTTTGGACCGCTGATTTTGCTGACATTCGGGGGAGGTTCTTGGGCCCTTTGCTGGGTGGAGCTGCAGCAGCTGCAATGCAGTGGCCACTGGCTCCAGACAAGGCCGGGCCACAAGCCAAGCTGTGGGCTTCGTTCGGCAAAACAACCGTCTTGGAGAGTCGCCTAAGATTCCTGTGCTTTATAAGATTCCTTATATTGCTGCTGTCTCGTGGCGTGTCGACCACTGAATTCAGTTGCGGATGAATTCTCGACCTCCAGGCTCCAGGCTCCAGGCTCCAGGCTCCAGGCTCCAGCTGCTTGCAGCCTCAATTGAAAACGAGATACTCCAATCGCACATGCTGGCACGACTGAAGCTCGAAAGGGAACACCTGGCGTCGTTTGTACAACAGGTGTAATATCGCTTTTGACATTTGCTAGGACGCCTCACTCCGAGCTGCCAGCGTCATAGCTTTCACTTTCCAGATAACCCTGCAACATCAAGTTGTCCACGCAAACCTGAATGCATTCCAAATGAAGGTTATGGTGAGTCCGGGGACTGTTCGGGGTGTAGTCGCATTGCTGGACAAGGGATTGGGATAGATGCAAAGCTCACACACGGGAAAGCCACTTGGAGAGTCATCATTCGGCAAGCAGCAATACTGTTTGCGAATGGTCTATTCTCGGCGGGTTGGAGCTGAGCGTGGGTGATGTCAAAACAGGAAGGCGAACTGCCGCTTTCATACTTTGTCAATGACTCTAGTGCCTACATAGCGTGATAGAAATGCTAGAGGCGCTGACACTGGCGCAAATGCCCGGCTCCAGTGTGGCTACTGCCCCACCAAGATTTGTCAACAATTACTGACAAACACGGACAGATCACACTCGAGTGCTACGCTATTTCCATTGTGTGTGTGTGTGTGTGTCTGCTTGTGTGTGTTTGTGCCGTTGAGTGTACTGCGAGTTGACATGAGTCTTGACACTCAGACAGTTGAAGCCACACTGGTTTTCAGATAAGGCTCAAGCTTGTAAGGACAGATTGGAGCATGCAAAGGCAATGCCCTCGATCGCCACAGGTCATCATGACATTCGATCGAGACGTCAACAACGTGTGCCATTGAACATGTCCAATCAGATTCTGTTTGTTGCATGTTTCCGGGGCGTATCCAGCTGTTTTAGGACCAGTCACGCAATCGTTTGCTTGTGGTGTTTGGGTATGATTGGGTATGCCTCAAAACGGGACCGCCTCCTTTCAAAGGCTTTTGCAACGGAAATCGGAAGGACTCCATCCATGAGGGGCCCTTAATATCGGCGCAGCCGTTGGCAACAGGATGTCTTCAGCGGCAAGAGCGATCCTTCTGCAGAACCTCCTGTTGATCCAAAGGTGGATCCTGCGTGCCTTGTATGAAGGAGACTCCCGGACGGTGGCTACCTTGTGACACATGTTGTGACTTTCCGCTGTTGCATTTCATTATGTTCTGTTGCCACCGAAGGCAGATGCGTTTGCGATGCCAACTTTGTCAAATGGTGCGGTAATTCAGAGTGCATTGTAACGGTCGAAGACAAGTTCAGGTCGTTTCAGGTTTGGGCAACACAACAGAGTGTCGTGCAACCGAGAATACCTTGGTGCTGTCAGTTTTGCTTGCCTGTCGTTTCCCTTTCTCGAAAGCTATGCTATGTAGTGAGCTCAGACGGGTTATTCACGATGTGGATCCGGAATCCAGGTGTTGCGGCTCCAACTAGAATGGCATAGGTTGGCCTTGAATCCAGGCAGCCCAGAGTGCAATCCATGCCCAAAGGATAATGCTAGACCTGAGTCAAGCTACGCCATGTCTTGGTGGCACCACGCCTAGGGACGCCGAGCAAACGGCCGAGTTGCGCCCTTAGACTCCACCTGAAGCTTCAGAAACATTGCGGGTGCTGCCCAGGGTCAATCAAGGGAAGGAGAGGCAGTTAGTCCGAGCAGTGGTAGTTTGGCAATCCGCACCAGAGTAAAGTTGGTCGATCTATTGTTGCAGGAAGAATCGGAGGTTAATCACGAGGTCCTTGCAAGTAGCTATGTAATTGTAAACGCTGCGCGTTGCCCGCCTCGGCCCAGCCGAGCGCGCAGCGTCTGTGGTTCGACTGCAAGCACCAGAGCTGGTCAAGTGGCGATTCAGGAATGGACGGGTTCTGGCTGCCTTTGTTGGGGAATGGTGCAAACCAGCACGTTGGCTGGGGCGAGCAAGCTTCACGAGAGACCGGCGAAAGCCCATGGAGCTTAAGGTTCCGCGCATCCCCGGCAAGCGCAAGTGGCACGCCTGCTTTCACTTGACGCTTTGGTCAACTGCCAAGTAGAGCCATTACATAAGTATTCAGGTGCTTGGCTCCTTGGTGGTTCAAGCTGCTCAGGCCACGCAGAAGTCACAGACCAGACTTAGGGACTCGCAGCGTGTATGGCGTGGTTGTAATTATTGGCCGCCACAATGTGCAGCCGCTCCACAAAGGACAGCGCACCAAGCACGGCGCGGTGGTAGTGGTTCAAAGTCCTTTGGAAAGACTTTTGTTTGCAGTGAGGCCTTCCTAATTTGAATACTTCAACCGAGATGCGCTCGCTTGTAGTCACGACCCTCTTCCATTCTAGTTGTTTGTCCTTTGATACTTTTTTGATCAACCGACCGCTTCACGTAGATCAGAAAGCCTTCGATTTTGCAGAACCACTCCACCCAGCGCGTGCCTAGGCCAGCAGATTTGTGAGCCCTGCTCCTCATTGCTGTGATCTGACAGCGGTAGACATCAGCACGGTATAAGCACATAGCAGGGTACGCCTCAATTGCATGCTTGGCTGGTCAAATGCTGAATGACATATGCTGTTGTATGTTGTGTTTTCCCCTGGCAGTCCTTGAGAATTTCACGACAGCACGCAAGCAGGTTTCTGCCTTGCCTGGACAAAAGGTGCAGGCAAAGGTTTCTTGGTTGAGGTACAGCCGGGCACTTGGGGCTCGTACTATTTTGAGTGTCCCAGAGGCACAGGATCCTGAGATGCGAAGCGGAACTTCGTGGACACACATTTTCTCAAGAGCGAGCAAATGTTTTGAGCAAATTGTTGCGCGTTTCTCGACTTCCTAAAGCCCAAAGGGCGGGAGTCGATCAGTGCAGTTGACTGCCAATCAACTGCTTTTGTCAGCAGAAGGTCTGAGTTGCTGAAGTGTCAGAGCACAGAGCACACTTGTCAAAAAAGAGATGTCTCTGGTCTCCTGGCAACTTTCCGTCATAATCCACTCACAATGACAGAACGACAGCTTATGACCAGCTTACCATGCAACTCCAGTCCATGGCAGACAAGGTGTTTGTAAAAAGGGAGCACACATTGCCAGTGATTCAACTGCAACGTGTTGAATGATTCCCACCATGGGCCCAGTAACTATCCGACAAACATCTTGGTGGCTATACCTTCGGCGAGTAGCCGAAGGAAGCCAGAAGCTTCCTGATGTTTTCTGGAAGCCGAAAGGGTTCCCTTTGTGCAGGCTGCATGAGATGCGCGGTGATCCAAGATCATCTGTCAAGAAAGGTGGCGAGCGCCGTAGTGCTTCAACTCGCCAGTGTTTTTGAAAGCAAACGACAAACATTGTTGTACGGCAGACGGCCTTCATTCCTACATGGAATTATCTAGGTTGAAGGTGCCAAGCGCCCGCTCGCCGCTCAAGTTGGCTCCTGGCTAGCTGGCATCAGCAGGCATGCAAAGTATAGTGGAAGAGCTTGATCTGGTGGCATGAATATGGCATTACTGGCTATGCAGGGCGTGCTGCACTCATTGGGTGGATTGGTTTGCCATGGCCATGTTTCACTGTTTCGGTGGATGGCTTTCAGAATTCTGACATTTTGACAAGGAAGTCTGCTCGAGGCATTTGGGTTGTGTCGGCCATGCAGCGGCTGCTCCCTTTCGCAGTTCTGGCTTCCGCTGATGTACGGCAGCTGCAGTTCGATTGGAGCCGTGGCTTCACTGTGAGTGAGAGTTGTTCGACAATTTCTTCGTCGGAGTTTGGACATGCTGCTTTTCGCAATGTGAACATGACGCACCTGGAAGGAGCTCTATTCACCACCAATACTTTGAGAGGTCAGCTTTTTGGACTGTTGGTAGAATGCCTTGAACACTCGCAGTTTAAGCAAGTACATTGCTTTTTCACACCAGTTAACCAATGATCCAAGCATGTGACGGATTGGATTTTGTGTATGCAAATTAACAGGGATCAGGCATTGCAATCTGCGCAGTGTTCTCTTCATTTTGCTCACCTTGCCACTGTTCTGCTGGGCCTTCCTTGTATAGATAATAGACAACTATCATGGCCTGCTGTAGATGGTCTCTTTGGCCTGGATTTGGGGGTTGAGATGCAGGTCAAATTTCAGCAACTTTCTGGCAGATTGGGCTCGGAGCAGGGCTTCATGTACTCACTTCTCAAATTTGAGTTTGGTAGGCCCAAAGATTGGCTTGAAATTTAACTGGCATTTCACTGGACAAACGGGACACATTGGAGTTTCATTGGAGATTCAGTGGAAGGCAACCCTGGCATGCCTTTCATGACAGCATGGTTCATTAAAAAACCCTTGATGTAGCTAGAGCAGCGCTTCCGTAAAATAGCCTCCATGCTGGGCATGCCACATACCGCCAGAAAATCCTGGGAATGCTGCCCCTTGAAAAACGAACAAAGGAATTTTGAAGGAAAGCCATTGGAGCCCTGCCTGGGCCATAGGCAACATGCTGAAGCAACCTAGTTTGAAATAGCCCATGATGGGCGTGTATGAGTAAAGCACTGAGCAAAGACGTGTTCCTTCTCGGCCCAAAATTGGTTGGTTTGAGGGAAGTCAGTAGATTGCAACATCTATTATGCATTTTGGGTTTGACCTTCAAAACCCAGCTGCTTGTCTCACCTTTTTTCGAGCCTCCCATTGCATTCATCTTTGTTCTTGCTTCAATCTGCGCATGCTGCTGCACCCTTGCAGAGACGGACCAAGCATTCACAAATACTGCACTTTTGGTTGGTATCTCTTGACTGTCAACCTGAATCTGCTTGGCGCAGTGTCTGGCCAGGCGCAAGCCCGCCATGGTTTTTTGTTGGCGTTCAACGTGGAATTTGTCACACTGAGTCAGCCCAATCCAATAGCGGGTTGCCTGCAGTCAGGGTGTCTGATCTTGATTATGGCTATAGTTTTCTATTTTGTGCGGTTGTGCATGTTGCGAATCCCTCTTCAGATTCGCTCTTGGCTTCCTTCCCCCGACGTCAGCGACTGAACCAGGGTGAGCCGGGTGACGTCAGCCTCAGGATCCCAGACATCAACGGCTTGGACCCGCTGACGCCTTCCTCCAGCGCTTGCAGCTCCGGGCTCCTGGACTTGGCCCTGCGGGGCGCCGGCCGTGCGGCGGCCAAGGCGCTGCAGAACCACAACGCCAGGACCAACTCCGGACACCCAAACCGCAACGAGTCTCCGAGTCGCGGTCACAAGTTGGAGGCAATGTCACTCATGTGACTTTCAGTCCGTGAAACCTTGCACGCCTCCGAAAGACACATCTCTTCAGCAAGAAGGTGCCGGCCTTGATTTGCGTTGTTTGGGCGCAAAGCCCGACAACCAGTCGCCCTTGAATCCCCTGGTAGAGGCACCTCTTTCCCACATCCAGGTGGTTTTCTCTGCCGTTCCACTCAGCTGGATTCAGGAGCCTATCCGCACAAGTTTCCTGGTTGTTGCTGTCAAGTGAGCGTTGTTGCTTGCCAGAAAAGACAAGCATTTTCAGCAAGAGGCACCCTCGCACATATGAGAGGTTGTTTGGCGGTTCAAACACAAGAACACGCCCTCAGTTTTGGGGCCAGTTGGCTGTTCGGTCCTTCGGGTGCCCTGCGCTGTTCGGGCATGAGGGGTCGCCTCCAGAAGCTGAAGCCCGAATATGCCTGCGTGCATGCATCAAGAGTTAGAAGGGCTTCAATCGGGAGTTCAAATCTGTGTGTGTGTGTGTGTGTTTTCTGTCTCATGTTGAAGTGTTCTCCTGCAAGATAGTGTTGTCAGGAGCGCAGAGTTGGGTGAGAGGAACTTTACTCGCCTCAGTGACCTGGGGCCAAATCTTGATGAGGACGAGCAAAGCCATGACGAGTGAGTTCTTGTGCATGTTTTGTAGCGCTGTGCTGCTCTCTGCCATTTGCCTGAATGCGCAGGCGCAGTATGGCACCTTCCAGGGGGTCAACATTGTCTTGCTTGAGGGCACTGACGTGCACACTGTGGACAATGCAGCCAAGGACATTGTGCCCCCCTTGAAGCTGGAATTAGGGAGAGGGGGTGACCCTTGGAACTGGGTGATACCCCCCCTCCCCGTTTCCCTCAAGGAAAGACGTGGGTTGGCGGCTGTTTGCAATGCATATTTGGGGTGAAATGCAATGGGATCATGGCCTATTCGTCTAAACTGTCTTGTGTTGCTGTGGCACGCCAGTATGCCCTTGGCCGGGTTCGTTGGAGTGGATTTGGATCAGAGCCTCACCAAGAGCAGTTGTGGCTGAAATTTACGACAGTGTGCAGAATGGGACGTAAGCTGAAAGGAAGAAAGCTTGTCCAAGACCCCACCTGAGCAAAGCATGACCACCTCATCCGGGTTATATAAAGCAACGCCAGGCCCTGTCAAAGCTTCTTTCTGAGGCACACGTGGATAGACTCCCGTGATCTCCAGGAGGTGGACTCCAATGTTTGGTGCAAGTTGGGGCTGACACAGTGCGGTCACAAGGGAGTGGCCGCTGACTTGCACAGCAAGCTGCCTTCGGCGTTGCATGGCAGCAGTATGTTTCGGTGTAAACGGATGTTGAACTGTTGAACCTGGGCCCTTTACCAGCAACTGGCGTGCAACCTTGAGGGCCAAGCTCTAATCATGCTCCGCCCAAAATGCGAAGGAGCACCTGGACACTACGTGGTTGATCCGACACCGTTTGCTGAACACCGCACGCTTGATACCGAACAAGCATTTTGCTGCAAGGTTCAAGCAGCCCAATGTGGTGTGCGTCGGCTTCAGTCGAGGGGTTTGGCTTGTGACGACATATGCTGCTTGGAAGCTGGATGCACGTCGCTATGAGCAGTCCTCCTGCATGCGCAAGGGTTTCGAGGCCTTCATCAAATAGCCCATTGACACGCTAAACTTTCAGGTGGGTGAAGCGGCATTTGAGCCCATGGGACTGTCAGATAATTGCAAACTTGCCGTCATTTGCGCCTGAGTCTGTCCCTGTTTGGACCATGGGCACTGAGGCTACAATGTACCCAGACAATTGCGGCTATGTCATCACTTCGGGCTCCCCTGGGCAGATGTATGATAGCACTCCATACTCCTGGGTGGTGGCGTTTTATTCTCCAATTGATGCTTGGCCAAAGGTCAGCTGTCCATCTTTGCTCAACGGACCCCTTGCTGTTCCAGTCCGTCAAGCTCAAGTTTGTCAAGTGCTTAGCGGCTTGAAGCATTCGATGACTTTCCAATGGTGCTTGTGTGTGTGAATCACCATGAGTAATAACCCGGTCCCTGGACAACCAGAAACATGGGAGGGCATTGGTGCATATCAAAACGCTGGATCCATCGCAGCCGCAAGTCCTCTTCGACAAAAGCAACCCACCAATTAGAACGCTATCCTACCTTGAAGGAGGCCCAGCTTTGTTCGACGTGAATACTCAGACTGTCAGAATTGCAGTGTTTGCCAAAATCGTTCAGCAGATAGTTTAAGTTTAGTTGTCAGCAGGTGGGTCAGAGCCAACAGCTTGTTGCGGTCTCAGCTCCGACTGGCCATGGCCGTTAAAAAAGGTCGCTGGCATGAGCCGAGGACATGGTTGACAACTTGGGCATTGTCACTTCTGATGAGCGAGTCATGGTCTCATGCGAGCACGATCCTGGGTGCTATGCGCGGGAGGTCATCAGCTGGCGCCTGGCCCCAATCTTTGGCCAGCGTTCGGAGAGTAGCTTGAGGGATGGACAGACCAGAAGAAGCTGCTTCGTTTTCTCGAAATGAGCTTGTATTGTTGATGCAACCAACTTTGGAGTAGCTGTAGCAGTTCATGAGAAGGAGCTTGGAAAGCTTCAACACCACGCTGCGTGCTTGGGCTCTCCTGGGTGGAGGGTTTTCTTCAAATGCGCACTCCCTGGACAGATGTGACATGCAGGGACGAAAGCTTCAAGTCATTTTCAGTTTGGGCAGCTGATGCATGCGTACCTTAATTTGGCAGCAAGCTTTGCATGACAGCAGAACCAGATTGGTCAGCCGGTTCCGTGTATGAGTTTTAGCGCACACGTGCGCCAAGGACTGGTGAGAACATCTCGGATGAGCAGCGCTCTGCGCTTGCGCACTGTGGGATGGCCAAGGGCTCTCGCTTGATCAGCAGCTTTGACGGCACGTGCGATGTGAAGCTTTCAAGAAACAACATTTTTGAGAGCTTTACTAGGCGTTGACTGTTGGTTTGACTCGTTAGATCGTGCTTGCGGTCTGCTTCTCCTTGGACGCTCGCATACGCCATCCCAGGCGTAGCGGCTTCAGGCCATTTGTGGCTTGTGAGCTTGGCATTCCTACTGCTGGCACTCTGAGGACGAGGCAATGGATGCAAAGTTAGGCAGGCTTAAGCGACACTGGTCAGAATCGCTACTTGCAAATGTTGCAAACCAAAAGGGCCGAACCCAAATTATTGGTTGACAGAGGCCTCTTCGAGTTGCAATCGACATTGCGTGGCCACTTGGGTCGATCCCGTGAGGGTTCCTGGAAAGCATGAAAGCTCAGCAGCATTCCCCAGCTGTCTTTAGTAAGCTTGCCTCATGGCTTTGGTCAGCAATGAGCTGGCTTCTGCCAGCTCAGAACCCAAAAGGGCTTTGCCTTGCCTTTGTCAAAGAGCATCCACAACGATGGTCGGCTGTGAGGGCAGTCCAGCTATTGCAAATGTCTGGCTTAGTCCCTTCGTAGCTAGTGTGGAGTGGTATGGGTGTGAACTCTGCGCCTGGAGCTCCGATGGCTGTCGCTTTGCACCTTGCGGCACATGTATTTTAGCGCAGCTTTCTGCATCAGCTTGACCCAAGCGGTGTGCTTGTCGTGCCAGGATTTTGCTGGCAGCTATATGTTTCATGCCGTTCAGTGGTTTCGCAAGCTTGACATTTGTTGCTCCTGTATTCTTGACTCGGTCAGCTGGCGATCGTGCCAGAAAGTAAGGCTGCGAGAACCGGATAATGCAGGATGCGACTGCGGCGAGCACTGATGTTCCCCATTTGGTGTACTTGCATGTGGCAGTTGAGAATCAGTGGCCCTTCTTAGGATACAGTCATGCAGTTGTGTTTTGTTGCTTTTGTACAAGGACAAGTTTGGGAGCCAGTTGTTCGATGTTTTTGTTACCAATCACTTTGACAGTGCTGCAGAACACCAGTGCTGCAGAACACCAGTGCTGCAGAACACTGACAATGTGTCCCATTTCGTTGCCGGAAGCCCTCCAGGCAGCATAGTCCAGATTTTCCTTTAGGCTTCCGCTCAAAGCGTGGCTTCTTTTGACGATTTGCAAAGAGAAAGCTTTCAGTGTGGCCACTCATTTTTTAAAGTCTTGCCAGGGCATTTGCTTGATACTTGTTCTCCATGGGTTTCTTGGCAAAGACAATCTGGCAGACTCTGGCTTAAATGGTAGCCTGGTACCTGAAGGAGTTGGGCTGTCTTAAGCTCAACGACTTGGGCAGTGCTCTGACTTCAAAAAGGCTGCGATCCAAGACGACTAGATGAATTTTTCGCTCTCGCTTCATCTCACTGACATACGCTTCTCAGAGACACACGTATTTTGAGACGAACACGAAGGCTTTAGGTCTTGGCATTTTGCAGGCTTGAATGCAGCTGCGAGGTGTCTGCTTGTCGTCCGCTGTTTTTGCTCGTGCTTCGGATGTTGGAAAGTTGCGAATGGACAGTGAAGCCTTGACCATTGGCAAATTGGTGCTGGCACTCCAGTCAGAAGTTTCTCTCAGTGGTAGGCTTTTGCAGTTTGGCTCAGAAGACGCATACCTCTGGTCGCTGAGGAGACTGAGCCTTCGCAGATAAGTGCTACATGTTTTGATTTGCTACTAGACCCCTCGGGAGGGTCATTAGTCCACAGACAAACAGCACTCAACCACACACCCACACTGACATGTCATGCCCACCATTGATCATGGCTCTGTAGTTGCAGCTTGCGAGAGTTGAAAGTCGGCAAACTGTCAGAATGCTGGGTCATCCACTCTTTGCGTGTTTCTTTTAGTAGCCATGATTTGGCCACGATCACACAGCAATGTCTCTTACAAAGGAACGAGATGTGTCAGTGCAGTTTAGAGCTTGCCCGAACTCAGGACCAGGATGCACCTTGACTATGCTGGCTGGGAGACGGCTTGCTTTTCTGTTGTCTTTATTTATGGTTGGGCCCACAGCCTTCCTATGGCCTCCAAATAGAGTACTCCTTGCCGAAAGCAGACAAACACTTCAGGGTAAATCGAAAGAGACAGCTTGCGGGAAGGTGTACCTCTGTTCGCTGTGGCGGTATGAGAGTCACAGCACCAAGCAAACTTTGAGCGGAAGCTGCAAAGCACTGTTTGCTTGCGACTGCT